TGGTAGTGTCCTAAACATGCACTCCATGCAATGGCCAGCAGGGGGCAGCTCCATTGGCTGCAAAAAAAATTTCAATTCAGAAACATATTTTAGTGTACTGTTTAGCTGGAATACGAGATTGTGTGACCAGGCAAGCTGCAATTGTTTCTTCATCCCTCATCATCTTCCTAAAAACTGTTTTATATAATGATGGTTGAGCTGAAAGTTGAAGAAAAGATGAAAGACTTTAAACTGCTGCTTCATCTCTTTTACAGAGAGCAGTCCTCACAAAGGTGCTTAAACATTGTTAGTGTAAGGGTAATTAATAAGGTGTCCCTTGAAGTAAGAAATAACCAACTCAAATGTGAATTTGGTGATGGACTGCTGGAGAAACATGGGTGTGATTCATCAAAAGATGGTCATATCAGTCAAAAGATGAGGAGTCCACTGACCACAAAATGAAGATATTAGAAGATATCTTGGTGCCACATAGGTTTCATCTAGCTAAGGCTAAGGCTGATGGAAAAATAATCGGTATCGGCATCAGCCCTAAAAAAATCCATCTCGGTCGATCCCTACCTCACAGCCATCTGCTGTTGTCTGTTACTTGATTCTAGCTGTCGGTTATATTCACTTGTGGCAACTAAAGCATGAATAATTTTTTTTTTGGTTATATCTTGACAAATCAAAGCAAAGTTCGGTAGAGACGCTGATGCTCTCACACTCTCCATTGGATAACTAGAAAGAATTTAACACGACATCAACAAGTGGAATCTTGATCCTGTTGCAATACTGTCTGCTACTACCGTGACTGGACTGAACTAGTCACTATTTTTCAGTCGTCATCATAAAGATGACGACAAGAGCTGCCTTGGCAAAGTGCCTTGTTTGCAGTATAGTAAATTGCAATATACTATATTGCAAAGTATATGGTATCATTTTACACTAGAGCATACTTTTATTGTCAGACTTTAGGATCTCATAAACTTCACAAAAGTAACAACACTGTAAGTCCACAGGCTGATGAAAATCCTGTTTATGTTGCTCATCAACTTCTGTGTTATAACATCGCAGTGGTGGAAGAAGTATTTACCAAGGTAAAAGAAATACTCAATTACAAGTAAAAATATTTAAAATAATCATGTAAGCGGTTATTTTATGTTGTTACATGTTTCCTCAGCGTATCATATTTTGGATAAAACTTTTAATCAGGAAAAATTACTAGTAGATATAGTAGTGGATTAGTGTACAACAGTATAAAATGGAAATAGTACTAATTTATACCTCAAATACCCTGACATGCAGGAACATGAGTGTGTAGCAGGCTGATATTGAAACCAAATATTACAGGAAATGCTAAACTTATTTTGAATTACATTTCAGTGATCTCATAGTTTAAATGTTGTAGTATTTTGAAAGTATTACATGTTTTTAAATTAATTTTAAATTTATTTTAAAATTCCTAAGATTCCTCCGCATACCACTAGAGGCAGCTTGCATACCACCAGTGGTACAGGCAGTTTGAGAACCAGCGATGTAGACTATTATTGTGGCATGTTGGTGGACGCGTGTTGCAGTTTTTGTGTGAGGGTCCCCAGAGCACTGTAAAAAATAACATTAGAGTTTCAGCTTTGTCACTGTAAGGTAAAATTGTACTTGTAATAACAACACAAGCATGAGGTAGCTCTGTGCTGTTAGACTGAGGCTGTCTGTGAGCCAGACACTGATGGGAGATGTTCAGTAGCCAACCAGCAGCAGCAACCTACTTATTCATACTTTACAAATTCTAAAGAAGTGAGCAATGTGCTAAAATAGCAGGCCCCTTTTCATGAAAACAGAAAGCGGAAGTTGTCTGAACTTAAACTGTCACTGCAGAAGGCAGAGGGGGACACAGTTTGAAAATCATCATGGTCTTTTTGTGACTAAGGTTTTTTTTGTTTTTTGTCTTCTTCGCCTAAACTGACCAGTTAACTTACAAACATACAAATAAGCACTTCCTGACCACACTTGAGAAACTGTGGTTGGATGACGTTAATGACTGACTAGAGCTGGGATTTTCCGCCGAATGGCTGTGGGTAAAGTGTAACCAATGAAGCTGTTGCTGTTCATGGTTGCTGTTGCTGTTCATGGTTGCAAATGTACTGGTACCCTACTGTACTACTGCTGTCACACTACTATTTCATTATGTGCTGATATACATATCACTGTGTTATGACATGTACAGATGATTTAATGAATTAGCTAATAATGCACTAATTGATTTTTTTTGATTTATTGATTATTTGGTCTGTAAAATGTCAAAGTGAATATAGTCTACAGCCACACTAGCAGCTCTTTGAGGCTGTACTAAATAAATAAAAGTCGTGACCAATACGAAACCAAATAAAAGTCATGTATAGATGTGTCTGCAGACGTTTTTTGTTTGTCGTCTGCGCTCAGGAGGACGACAAACAAAAAACGTCTGCTGACACATCTATACATGACTTTTATTTGGTTTCGTATCAGCATTATATATTGGCCATCAGTCGCCCTGCTCTCTGAATATCAGCATCAGCCATTGAAAAACCCATATCGGCTGACCACTTGTACTAATGTCAGCATATTAACATGCTCACAGTGACAATGCTAACATGCTGGTGTTTAGCAGGCAAGCTGATTACCATGGGCACTACCTTAGTTTAGCATGTTAGCATGCTAAATAGCACTAAAAACAAAGTACAGCTGAGGCTGATGGGAATGTCATTCATTTTGCAGGTATTTCATTAAACCAAAAGGCATTCAACAAATTGAAATTTGGATGTAAGGATTACCAAAGTTATTATATATACAGTTTATCCTGGATGTCTGTACCACATTTCACAGTAAACCTACAATATCCAACCAATAGTTGTTAAGCTGTTTCACCCAAAACCCCAAATGTCAACCTCATGGTGGCACTAGAGGAAAAATCAGGGGATCACGATTTCCTTTACAAAATTCCATGCAATCAGAAAAGTATAAATTAAAGTGTAGTAATCCATTGTCTGGGAACCATAGACATCTGGGCCAAATGTAATGCCATTTCACTTAAAACCAAAATGTAAACCTCACTACTCCTCACTACTAGAAGTGAGGAGATCACCAAAGTCATAAGGGTTCATCCTCTGCGGCCCATGAATTTTTGTACAATGCCATATCAATCCATCCACTAGCTGTTACATTAAGATATTTCAGTTCAACAAGGTGGTGGACCGACTGACTGACACACCGGCAGTGCCATCCCGGATCCATGTCAGTAACGGGGCTTGTAAAATTCCCATCATAACAAACACTGGTTTTCTGCAGAAATGGGCCCACTGCCACCATTTTTAAACCTGTAGCTGTTCTAACAAACAGCACAGGGCTCAGAGCCAAAGAAACATTGCGGGAAAAAATAAAAAATAAAATAAAAAGCGCTTTAAAGACATATAAACCACATCTATTTATAAATATATATAAACCACATCCTTTGTTCATGTTTAGGCTGGTTTCCATGGTCTGTGGTTCTGGGTGAGGTCTCCCATTTTTCAGAATTGTTTGTTTTGTTGATCAGCTAAACTTCTAATTTGGAATTTTTCATGATTCATTTTGTTTATGATTCATCCTGAGGTGTGCTGTGGGATTTTCGCGAAGAGAAGAGAGAGGAAAAGGTGAGGGGGGAGAGTTTCAGAGTGATGAAGTAACACAGCGGTGTCACATGCACACACAGGTCCGATCAAAGCCTCGCTCCACTCTGACTCTACTGTAACATTCCAGTGACTGTTCAGCACTCCCGGAGCCCGTCTATATGTTGGATCTATCTCTGTTACCTCATTCAGACTTCCGACTCCATTTGACATTTCTCAGTCCCATCCTGTCACCACGTCAAACCTTAGATCGGCTTCCAACATAGAGCATCATGAAGAAGATTTACAGATTTATATCAAACACATTGTTAAAATTCTTGATAAATAAATCAAAATTTGATCATCAAGTGGTGTGAACAGCTCTTGACTGACATGAGAGCAGAAATGAAAAAGAGCGTTTTTCTGTTCCGCCTTGTGTCTGGTAAACCCACTAACCCTTGTCATGCAGCTGATCCTACCAACAGTCAAGTTTCAAACAAAATACGCACCTATGCTACATATTGTAGTGAGGTGCTAAAATACAATTTTCCAGGACAATATAGTTATTTTCTAGGATATTTGGTAATCTGGGGTGGTGTCTGCAGCTGTCAGTGTATGCATCCATTTAGGAATATATAAAGGCTTTATTATGGGGATAATGGCTATTGAATAATGAAGGAGACTAAACTAGAATATTCACATTTAATGAAATAATGCAGTCAATAAAATTCACATTTCACTCAACATTATGTATACATCATATATACAATAGGGTAGTGTATTGGCAAGAATGTGGCGATACAATACGTATCATGATACAGGGGCTATGACTCAATACTATAATAAATAATAATACTGTAAACAAGGTGATATATTGAGTTTTGCTAAGTTTTTTCTTTAAATTGTAGTTTTGGAAAACTGTCAGAGTATAAATAACAGACCACCATATGCATAACATCTGTTTTTATGCAACCAGAACAGTGGGATCTACATTTGTATTTATCCGACAATGATACAATATTACAAAACAAAATACTGCAATACAATATTTTTCAATATTTTCTTACACCCCTAATATATGATCACATATCATATACTTTATATATTGCCCTAGCTCTTCATTGTAGAGCATATACATATGTATATATATATATATATATATATATATATATATATATATATACTTTTTTGACGAATGGTAAAATATTTGCCAAGAAAAATACATACATACATACATACATACATACATACATACATACATACAAATACTCATGAACAAAATAAAAAACTTAAATAAATAACTTTGCCACTGATTCAGCTGTGGGTGAGATATAAGTGTCTGGTGAACTTCCTCTCCTGCCCCTCCCGTTCACTCTTGCCCCAGACAACCCAGTCTTGCCCAATCCTCTCCCCATGTCCCCTGCCTGTCACAGCCCTACCCAGCCCAGCCTCCCGGTCCAGGCAGCATATATATATGAGCAGCAGCTGCTCCTGCATGGAGGTCAGACATCTTTCTGTACTGAGAGAGTGATCACAGCTGCACAGAACCCCACTCATTTTATTCAGGATTTAAGAGAACAGATCTGTTGCTACAGAAAACTGGTAAGTTTTTATAATTTATTTAGATTTAATTTTAAAATATTATATTTTTTATTTGATTTTGATAATGTTTTTGTTTTAATTGATGTCTTTATGATGCTTTGTGGGTTTATGAGAAACTTCTCACTATGTATGAGAATATGTATCTCTTTAGAAAACATAGATGTGTTTATTGTAATTACATTACCCATTTAATTGCAATCCTCCAGTGTACTGTAAATATGATGCTCAGCCTCTGACTATGTAAGTGACTGTGTTTTTGTTTGTGGCTTCCCTCCTTTGCAAACAAGAACCAATCACAGATGGAGCTTCTGACAACCGCCCTCGTCATCGTCCTTCTTACGACAGCATCCGCTAAGCCGGTAAGCTAACCACAAAGCTGCGTAGGAATCCTCCCTTATCTTCACTGCTCTTTGTCTCTCACTGACTGTGCCTCAGTTTTCCCACTATTTCCTTTCTTTGTTGCACTCACTCTCACTGCTGAGGTTTGTTGTGAGAGTTTGAACACATTCCTGTCGTGGGATGTAACATTGTAACCTCTACGGCACAATAAGCTTTAGACTTTTGGTTTTGCTGCCTATTTCCTAAATATTTCACTAAGTTATATTTATTGTGACATTGTGTAAAATATGTAAAAAATTATTTTTGTCAGACCTCTCTGGCTATTTACCCCATTCATTTATACAACGTATTCAATAACACAAAGATTAATTGATATAGCTAGAACTCTTGATGATTAAAACTGAATTGATATATTAATTTATCAATTTATGTCCGCTTTGACTTGATTCAAAATAAAATAAGTATCAATATGTAATTGCTAAAAAAAAAATGTTTTTTGTATCTTTTCTGCCATTAAAACATCCTTTTCATTAATGTCCTGAATTTCTGGTTTCAACTGATGCTGTTGATTGCTGCAATATGCATGGGGGTGGACACTAATAACAATCAGATATATCACGTCAATTCCAACAGACACACAGGAAGTTGACAAGGTGCTGGGCCAGCATTGTTAACCATTGCGCAAGTTCCATTTGCAATGTGAGCAAGTCACGTCATTTATTAGTCAGTGATGGGATTTAAATCATGGGTTAATGTACATGGTGCTGAGTAGTCAATTTTAGTTGATGATTAATTGTCATACAAATAATTAGTCAATTCTAGTCTATTAAAAGTCAGCTATGTGTGTTAATGTTCCAGCTGTGTTTAGTTGTAACAACAAAAGACGGCAATAGCTACATTTGAAGTACAGGTCACCAGAAACTGTGCAACTCACTGAATTTTTCACAAGTTCCTGCAAATGATAAAATGATGACAGTCTTTCATCGCTAAAAAAAGTCATTGTGTAGGCTACAGGGCTTCATGTTCCATTCAATTGCCGCACAGCAGGTATTGTGAATGCTGGCTCACTGGTATTACATTATTATTATATTTATTTATTTTTTGTAACACACATAAATTGGATCGGTTCTCGGTAACGGCCAATATGGCCAAAGTTCAGATATTGAAATCGGTATTGGGAAAGACAAAATGGTATTGGAACATCTCTAAAATATTTTTACAATCACCGCACACCGTACCTACAGTACATTGCGGTTTATGGTATGGTTAAGGTGTGGAAAAGATTGCGATTAAAGTTTTTACTTTTTACTTTCTACTCTTGCATTAGCATTGAACGTAAATCAGAAATGCAAAATCGTCCAATATAAATGTAATATCTAGGAAGCATGGGCTGGGAATCCGACAGGAAATAGTGAGTATCTGAGTGTAACTTCTCGTGATATTCCCTCCACAGATTGGTCGGCGTCGGCATTATGATGCTGACATCACTGAGAACGACCGGTTACAGGGATTGTCAGGCAGGAATTACTGGTGGTATCAGTCTTCCAGCCCCGAAGACTCTTCTTCAGATTCGGATCAGTCACTGGATTCACGGGAATCTAGTCAATCTTCAGAAAGTCAGTCCTCAGAAAGTCAGTCTTCAGAAAGTCAGTCTTCAGAGGAGTCCTCCTCTGAGGAAGTTCTAATCACCAATCAGACAACACCGGTCATGACCACCACTACCAAGACAACCATCACCACAGGAGAAGGGAGTGCACTCACCCCTGAACCAGAAACAATGGGCACGGATGAGCCAACTGTAACACCCCCACCAGAAACAACAACCACACCTGTTGCTACTTCCCCCAGCAATGTGACTAACTGTGTTACTGTTGAGATTCCAACAGCAGCTCCAATCACAGAAAACAGAGGAGACAACTAAGCAACTGGGATTCCTGTTAACCGACAAAGAACAACTGAACACATTCCTATTAAACATTTTATTTTCAGCACATTTTGAGTCTAGAATTAAACTTCAGTTATCAATTCAAGAAGCAAAAGGGTTAACACATTAGGACAGGTATTCAGTGAGTGATTGAAATTAGAAGGTCAGCTAGACTAGCTAACTAACAGTATCACAAAACCACCAAGAGGACTTCAAGGAAACTAAAGTAAGGGTCATTACATCATAACACCTACGTTCTAATGCTATTTAGCGCCAGACTTTGGTGGCAGTCCTTCTGAAACCTATGGCAGATGCATGAAGAAACACACTTAAACCCAGCATATATACATCATATAACCTTTGAAGAAGAACTGTCGCTGCCAAAAGAAAGAACACACTTCAAAGAATAGATTTTAGACTAACAGGCTCAGAATTAATTTAGTTGGTAGCTTTGCTTACATGCTAACCTTACATATAACTGATAACCTGTGAAACTGAGGGGGGAGAGATAAAGGAGTGGTCTGCCGATTCACCTCTACGCTAACTTTGCCAAGAGCTTTCAAGTGTGGCACCATTGTGCGTTCATGCATGGTGACGTAATGACCCTTCCTTCTTCCTTGGATGAGTTGTAGCAAAATGCACTTAAGATGCACTTCGTTTAATGACCACTAGATGCATGATCCAAAAATATTATGCTAATTTAATTTTTGTAAATAGTTTGTTTTTCTGATGCGTATCTTTGTGGCAAGTTACTTTTCCATCAGTAACATATTATGGCTGAAATGAAGGAGAGTTTTGGGTAAATGCTTGATTTAGCGTGCGTGTTTCTCAGCCTATTGCAGTCAGCAGCAGAGGTTGCCTCTTACACATCACATATCTTCTCCACCAATTCCAAATGTTAATGTTCCAGTGACTCCAGTAACGGACAAAGATCGCTATAGAAAGACTGTGGCTCCACCCATTTAGTTTCAACTCAACCAATCAAGGAGCTCCACACGGCCCCAACCCTAGAAATCCATGCAATTCTTGGTTAAGTTTGACAAGCAGCAGACACTTAACTATATTGATAATCAACATATAGAAAAAACATGATTTTGTTGATTGACAGCAGAAACAAAACGTATTGTCAGCCATTGTTGTTTCTTTTGTGGTAAAGGTCCAGTGTGGAGGATTTAGTTGCATCTAGCAGTAAAGTTTCAGATTCCAACTAAATGAACACCACTCTGTATTTATAGACCTGGGAATGAGAACAGGCTGTGTAGTGTGTAAGAAAGGCCCTATCTACAGTCAGTGTTTGGTTTGTATGTTCTGGGCTACTGTAGAAATGAAAACATAGTTATGCACATGATATGCATAGCTAGATTTTAATGTCACATTTCACACAGTTATTAACACTAATATCTTCCTAACATTCTAATTAGGGACATTCAAGGTGTAGTTTTAACACTACTGGTCATTTGGAACCAATATATCTGCTCATATAGTGCATTATAACATTTTGCTTTACTATACATATTGTTCTATTTTGATTTTAAATGTACATTCAGATGTATTATTGAGATTACACTGATTGTTTTTTTTATCATTTGTTTGTTTCTGATATGACATGAAGACCTGCAGTGTTTTAGCAATCAAATGGTGATACTACAGAGACCAGACCACAGATATGTTGATATGTGGTCATATAACATAAACAAATCTCAGTCACGTTTACCTTTAAAGTATTAACTGGTCAGACAAGTACAGGCAGGTGTATTTCTCCCAGTGTGCCAAATGGAGTCAATTCCAGTGTATCTGCATAGATCTGCTTTTGAAATAAAGTATTTATTTTTATGTTTTATCCTTTACAAGGATTCTCTTATTTGTTGGCATAAGCTTATTAAAACAAGTATATTGGAAGACTGTCACCACATATCGCTGAAAAACCACTTTAGCATGAAGCATCCAGAGTATGTATCCCACAGCAGTGTGTTTATAGACTGTAGAGGGTGTGTGCTGTTTGTCTTGTCAGCCCTTGCCTGTTGTCTGTAAATGCTGAATAAGACTGACAGAGTTATTGGCACGGTGGGTTGCTTCAATTATGGGTTGTGAATTCATCTTTTCCCAAATTAAATATAGCTTAGAGGCCTGAAGACAATACCTTAATGTTGTTGGTTTTGCTTCTGTTTAAACGTGTGTTGCGCTTTGTTTTGTTGAGCTGGAACTAATGTGCGTGATTGAATGAGTTGTAACAGTATTGATGTTTCTTCTAATGAAAAATAAAGTATCTTTATTACACTGAGTTATTGAGTTTAAAGGTTTTTACCGGGTGCCAATGTTAGTACAGTTCCAACAATGACTTTAAAAACGTGTTTTATTTTTATCAGCGGTTCTCTTCAAACTGTTGACATTGCTTCGTCTCCGCCTACCTGCTCATCTAACGAGAGGTTAAGTAACGTCACACTGCTGTAAAGTGGTATCAGAGTAGTTTTGTGATTACAATTACTAGTACATGAGCTCAGTATCTGACCCAATAACTGATACTGGTATTGGTATCGGTAAATCTCTAACTTTAATAACCCCGAGTTTGAGTAATGTGAATATGATGAAGTGAACTCACACGGGGTCTCAACCCAGAAGTTTAGAAACTGAGGAAGAGAGGATGCTTCCACTGCACCGTAGAAGATTTAAAAGGTAATTTTACTGTCCTCTTGAGGTATTCAGCCATGCAAGTCATTTTGTTTTTAAAAGCACAAGTGTGTAGGATTTAGTGGCATCTAGAGGTGAAGTTACAGATTGCAACCAGCCAATGGCTCGCCTTTTAAGCATGTAGGAGAAACTACGGTGGCCCTATCTACAGCCAGTGTTTGGTTTGGCCGTTCTGGGATACTGTAGAAACATGGTGGTTCAACATGCTGATAAAAAAAGCTCATTCTAAGAAACAACAACACAATGATAATTACATAAAGGTAATTATACGCTAATGAAAACATTCCTATTAATATTATAATCCATTTTTCCCAACAGATCCTCCTAATTGTTACACACTGGAGCTTTAACTGTCGTCAGGTTTCGCGGTATCTCTCTCTTTGATTTTTGCTGCTACTACTAATTTAAATAGTTCAAGGTGTCCTTCTAGAGACAACGCCCCCAATAATCCACACCCTTACTGTTTTTATTGGAACCATACGTCCAACCAAAGAAAAAGTCCCTATGAAAACAGGTGGAGAGACAAAGCAACCCTTCACTGCCTAACTTCTGAGAATGGGCGAATCATGTGAGAGACAAATTGTCCTGCACTGTAAATGTCACACTCCAAATCTATATGGCTCTATGTCATAAATATACTAGTGTCCTTAACAAGGCAGCATACTGTACCTGGTTTCATGCTGTATTTCCTGTATTTGTAAGTAAGACAGAACACTACCTGTAATTCAAACCTTTGACATTTCAATCCTAAAAGTTACAACTAATCGCCCAAAAGCCCAAAACAAGCTCTGAACATTGTACAACATCCTACTCATTCCCTTTAACTCAAGTCTAAAAAGAACAAACCTATCAGCCCCATCTAGTGGGAAAAGTCATTTATTACAGTCAAACAGGTTCCTGGCAGATATGTGGACCTGCTCCTGTGCATAAAGCCAGGTCCATGAAGAAATGGCCTACAGAGCCCTGACCTCAACCCCATCCTACAGCTTTGGGATGAACTGGAACACAAACTATGAGTCAAGCTGTATCACCCAACATCTGTGTTGGACCTCACTAATGACCATGTGGCTTAATGGGAACAAATCTCTGGTGGAGGCTGGAACAGCAGATAAGTGCCTGTGGTTTGGGAATGACATCTTCCAGATTCACACATGGGTATAAACGTTGTTAAAAGTTGACTATTGACATTGGGTCAGTGACATTCAGCTCAGTTTCAGTAAGCAGTGTACTTTAAATTAGACGCTTTCCCTGAGGAGAGCGCTACGCAAGAGAAACTGTGGTAGGTCCATTAAAATCCTAGATGTTGTTTTTCTTTTCATTTTCTTGACAGTTTGGTCTTTGAACTGTCACAAGAGTCACTTGATTTATTGATTGTCTTGAATCCTACTGCAGAATTACACAGCTCTCACCATGACTCATGGATAAATATAGTAATCACAATTAGCCTATTATCCTGTTATTCTTTTAGTCATCTACATAAAAGCTCAGCTCAGGCACATTTCCAGCGCTGCATGAGCTGTCAGCGACCCTCCCTGAAGGAGTGGCACGATGCCAAGGTGACGAAGAGGGCAGGAGGGATTGATGCCAGCCCCTGCAGGATCAGGACATCATTCAATAATTAAAAACCTGTCGAGAAACACGTCTTCAAAGCTATGCACGTCTTCAGCCAGCAAGCAAGGTCAGAGCAAACTGCAGATCTTTCTGTTCCATCAAGAGACTGTCTGCACTTTGTAACAGGCCAAAAATCCTCAGTTCAGTCAGGACCACTTTCGTCAAAATATCTTATATTCCAAGCAGAATTACATTTGGCGGTATGGCTCTGTTCTGGGACCTCCTTGTCCTTCCGCGTGCCTACGTGGAAAACCTTAAGGCAGGGAGAGCACACTTCCCTGCCCTTCCATGTGCCAACATGGAAAAGTTTAAGACAAGGAGAGCGGCAGCAGAGACCCCCCAGGGTACAGAACAGAACAGCATCAATGGCAATCAGAAAATTACATTGATTAATTAGAAACAACATAAAAAGGAGGAGCTGGGGTGGAGGTGGGTGCAAAAGGCTTGTAGAGGGAGCAGCAGAGATAGGCAGGCAGGCTAAAGCAGCTTAAATAAGGCGCCATGCATGATGTTTGCCAATTGGATGCTTGAGGAAATCAGGTGAGCTGTCAGCTGACTGTGTATAGTATCCAATGGGAAGTTTAGAGGAATCAGCTGATGTATGTTTATGACTAGCTGTGATCATATGATATAGCTGTAACTGAAAGCTAAGCCTGACTTCGTGCCCTGCCTGAACTAATGCTATGCTCAATTTGTAAATGCTTAAATCTTTTTTCTCATTCTTTGTTTTAACACTTGTCTTTTAGCACAACCCTCGGAGCAATGAGACATTATATTTTACTACACATTCTGCCCTACACATTGTTGACAATGACAATGGAGCAAGAACATCGCCCAGTTTATTCTGAAACATTCTGGGAATTTCACATGACAAATAAGACGCAAAGTACACTAAAGAAATAATAATAATAATAATGCATGTATGAAAAGCCAATGGAAGGCCAAGAATATCATTATTTAAACTGATCCATATCACAACAAAACAACATCTCATAAGCAAATACCAGACCCCCTGCACAGCCACAAACATACAGTCACACAGCCAACAGGTGACTGAGGAAACATGTATTAAAAAGCCCTGCTGGCTGTGTCCTGACAAAAAATGCATTGAACACATTTAATGTACATTATAACTTCCATAACAACCACACAGAAAATAGTTAAATGCACACACACAGCAGGACATTTAAGATTAGTTCACTGTGAGAGTGACTGACTCCAGCTCACATTTACTCTCACAAAGTCGCCCGGGTGTCCAGTTTCACAGTAACACTGTCTGTATCCGACTGTGGGACACTGTCTGTATCGTATCCGACTGTGGGACACTGTCTGTATCCGGGACACTGTCTGTATCCGACTGTGGGACACTGTCTGTATCATATCCGACTGTGGGACGCTGTCTGAATTGTGAGATAAAAGGTAATAATTATGGGTAAGTATGGAAGCCCATTTCCAACAGTAAAATCAGAGCCCATCTACGGTCTACTTATTAGACATTCTCTGGTAAAATTCAAAAATAAGATGAAAACCTAGCCTTGATAATAGAAAAGTTCATATTATGTCATATTTATGAGATAAAATTTCATTATTAGGAGACACAAAATTAAATGATGAGAAATTATGTGAAGAGATGGCCACAGCAATTAGATAAACAGTACAGGTTTTGTGACAAATGGAGTTATTAAACCAGTTTTTAGTCAATTGAATGACACTGATGACTACACACAGTTCCTGTGATAAAACACACACAGAAGAACTACCTTTGCTGTCTGTATGTTCATAAGCATTGCCTTTGTTTGTGCACTCAAGTAATGATATCTTTTACGGTGCCTGTCTTTATTTTCTCATGAGGAATAATAAATCAAGCTATGGCCTGTGCACAAATGAAACATAATTCACTTACTATGACGTTCACAGACAAAAAAAGACATCAGAGTCCAAGCTACAATGTTTAACAAACTCACATTTAAAGATCCCTTTCAGACATATATTAAGACATATGTACAAATAGTCAGAGTGGAACAATACTTAATAAAAAGTATAATTTCCACGTTCAAATCCTTAAAAAGTCATCTACTCCTTCTACCTCATTAAAAATAACAGAATCTCTGAATATGCAAATCTTGTTAATTTCTTTTCTTTTTTTTCTTTTTTTCCTGCTGGACACAAGATGTCTCCTACTTCACCGTAAAGTCCAGTGTGAGTGCACTGGTGGCTTTAAGTTCCTACATCTCACTTGCAGAAGTTACAAACTGTTTAATAACTTGATATTCAAGTTTGCACACATTGTTAGTGTTCGCATACTGAAACAAAAGTGTGATATGATGTAATACACAATATAAGAGTCCTGTTTTTATTGTTGCTCTGTGCATGTGTATTGTCTAGACACCACTGCCAGTCCATTAATGTATACTGGATTAGCAGTTCAGTGTTTCAACAGGAACAACATCAATCTTACATTTTTAGCTGTCTCGTCTTTCCACCCGAGGGGCTTTGCTGCTGCAGTTTTGGGGGCACAGATGACATGAAGGCTGTAATCAGTCAGAACTCCTCTGTGTTTATGTGTCTATACAGCATTTGACAGAAGGGAAGACATTAACAGAAGAGGAGAAGTCTAGACAAGGTGTTCCCATATGAGATTTCTCTTGAAATCACTCATATTGCTGTGAAAAGTGTCAGGTCTGCACTCCAGCTTTGACTTGAACTCACAGCGTGTTCACATGCATAGTGCAGGTCTGGGTCGAGTTTGTGCCAAGAACATAAACATCAGCTGTTACCTAATACTACTTCCAATCTCAAAATGACGATAACACACTGATCAGAATGTGTGCTGTACTTTACAACAAAACCGTTCTGTCCCTATTCCTAATCAACACACACATATTTCTACAACAGGTCGTGACTTGCCTGCCAACCTATTATTAATGGGTATGTTATGGAGTGAAATGTGCAAAGAAGAACTTCTAACACTTTATGTAACAGTTCAAGATCAAGTACTGGTTTATCTTTAACTTTTATTAGAAGTACGGTTAGCTTTATCATTGGGGATTGTGTGTGTGTGTGTGTGTGTGTGTGTGTGTAATGTTGGCTATTTGATAGTCACATTAAGCTTTAGTTACCACTGTATTAGAATGTAATACAGTCATTCATTAATCACTTATTAACCTTATACTACGGTCTGGGTGAATACTCCATTCTGATTGGCTGCAAGGTGTCCATTAATTCCTGATGTAGGACACCTACTGAGTAGTTAGGGGACAGTGACATGGCTGGAGAGCTAGCTAGCTTAGCTCAGTCTTAGTGAAGCTTGATGAGCCAAACAGCTGTATGAGCGGAGAGAAAGATCTCCTGTTGCCAAGTCGTATCTAAGGCTTGTCCTAAATACTGGAGTAGTGAACACATCTAGGGATAAGATCTTTATGGGATGTAAGGATTCTTCCTGGTATTAGTGAAATGTTTAGGTGTTAAGGCGTTTTTTGTCCGCCTCATGTCGGATAATATTGATATCAATCTCATTTGTGTGATAAAGGTCTAGTGTGCAAGATATTTGCAGAATATGGCAGGAATGGAATATAATTAGGTATGTTTTCATTAGCGTATAATCACCTAAATATAGGAATTGTTGTTTTTGTTACCTTAGAATGAGCTGTTTTTATCTTCAGAGGGAGCAGGTCCTCTTCTACGGAGGCCGCCATGTTGATATGACAGAATAGGACTAAGGTTTTTTTGCGAGTTTTGTGGCCACCGTAGTTTTTCCTACTCATTTGTAAAGGTAGTGCAACCTGAGGTTTATTCAGTTGGTTGCAATCTGCAGTACGGAGCTGCAGTTAGGAGCTGATTAGCCTAGCTTAGCATAAACTATCTGTTTGTGTTGATTGCGAGCTTTAGAGGTGGTGTTAATAGCTTTGGACATAGTGAAAGTGGTACTGATCTCCTCATCTAAATTGAATAGGTGTATTTCCCAAAATGTCAAACTTTTCCTTCAAAATAAGAGCTGGGTCATGAGAACAGCATGCAGTCTCTACTTTGGTCCGCTTTATTTCTTTTTGAGCATTTCTGTGTATCATTGTTTTATGACTCTTCTATGCTTGGCTTGTTCAGCAATTTCTGTATCTAGCTTCTCACCACCCTTCTTGTCTGAAAACAAATGTAAACAACCAGTATCTCTTTTTATGAAAAAGAACTTTATTAATATTTTAGAAATGGTACAATATGATACATTACAGTAAACAACATGGGACAAACAACATGTAGTGTAGGTAGGAACTGTGCAAATGAATAGGACTCTGTTGTATGTATATGTGTGTGTACTGCATCTATACCTGATTGAACCCTGTACTGGATTGTGAGTTTCTGTCTCTTTACGTCCTTTTATCTACACCAGCTGATTTGATACTAGCGAGCATACGAAGCTAAGCCACACAGGCAGCAAATGTCTGGCTTAATGTCAAGTTTAAATTCTATTATGCTTAAAATGATTACAAGTATTTAAATAAACTCTGCACTTTTCTCTCGTATTTTATAAGCATGAAAACAAGGTAGGTTTGCATATTGCAGTCATTAATTAATGATTAAATGCAATGTTGTGCTAGTGTAGATATCAGGACTTAACTGTGTTTGTTTCTGTGTTCTTTTACAGTTCTGACCCTTTTAAAAGGTCATGAGGTCAGTCAACCTCCGGTTGCAGGTAGCAGTTGTCAGTTTTCAACATCCTATAAAGTCGCATCAACCACTTTTCCCCTGCGGGGTCAAACATGGGATTTAACAGGGCAACCAGACCACAGGATGGAGGAGTTATTGGTTTATTTAAATATAACCCAAAAGATGCACAAATAATCACAGAAATATTGGCTGAGCACATTGAAATCAATAATAATTAAGTCTTGGCTGTCCCTGTTTGGCCCTGCAGTGGAAAGTGGCTCTGGAGGGGGCTTTGTGCACCTGGATGCAGTGTGCGCTCTTTATGTGAATCTAACTGACACCACGTCCACTCCATATCCTGGATGGGCGGGGCTTATTTGGCAGTGATGACCACTGGCATGTCAGTGGCGGTGTCAGGTCCCACCCCCTCCTCCTCTGAGTCACTCTCAGTGCTGTCGCTCTCGTCTGAATCGCTGTCAGCGGCCCCGGGTGTGGCCGTGGCTGTGGCCTCCTCGCTGCTCTGGCTCTCCTCGTCCTCTGACTCCTGGCTGGTGCTGGCGCTGTCACCCTCGCTTGCGGTGCTGGCGCTCTCCTCCTCCTCCTCCTCCTCTGGGGTGCTGGAGCTCTCGCTTTCGCTGGTGCTAGCGCTCTCCTCCTCCTCTGGGAGGGAGGCCTGGCGGGGGCTGGGGTCCTGGTCCTGGGAGGTGCCGGAGGAGGTGTCCAAACCCTGGCTCTCCACCTCAGGGGTGCTGGTGTCCTCCTCCAAGAGATCAGAGTGGACCTGAAGAGCCTGGAGGTGAGGCAGAGGATGGATGAAAGGGTTAGTTTGTTTTGTCTATAAGTTCACAAAACATAAATAACTGCACTAATAGATGGAGTTCTTTGTCTTTTAATCTGTGGTCTTTTTAAATCTTGGTATATTTAGTTTTTTGTAAAATGTAGAATGGAAGTATCTGTCACAGTTAAAGTAAAAGTGCTGAAATTACTTGAAGATCCATAAAAGTCAACTGAAATGTAGGTACTGAAAGGAGATGAGTGAAAGCCCTGCATGAGTTACTGTTAATTCAAGTGAAAAACCCAAAGTGTCTCCTCTCTGGAGTGTAAGGTAGTAGTGAAAGTTGATGTTTTGGCTTAAGTACAAGCACTGAAAGCAGTTGAAGTGTCACATAAAGTGCAGTTTGACAGTGGTAGTTGCTTGCAGTAGCACATTCTACAGCAGCCAAACTGGATTTCATGTGGACTCTACTGACAGCCTAACATTCTCAGGAAGATTAAACTGACCTGTACCTTGTACACCTGAAGCGTCTTCTCCACCTCGTTGCCGTCTGTCATGTCGTAGGCCATCTTCTTTCCAGCGCCCACAAACTCGTAGGACTTGTAGGGAGCGGGGACCTTGTGGTAGGATTTGTCCTCCACATAGACAATGGACTTATAGTCACTGGGGTAGCCTCCCAAGCTGTCACCACGGCCTGCATCCGTGTCAGTGACGATGGTAGGCAGGATGGGCTCAGGGGTGGTTTCAGCCACGGGTCCCTCTGTGACGATCACAGGAGTGACGGTGGCAGTAGCAGGGGTGGAGGCCTCGCCGGACTCTGAGCTGTCGCTAGACTCATCCTCATCGGTTTCCTGGAGACACAAGGGTGGGAGAAAGTGAGTAGAGAGAATATTTGTTGCATTGTATCTAATTTGATTGATCTGTAATAATTATTAGCTGTTCTGGTTCTTTTTTCCTTAGTTGAAGCTTTGTTTGTGTTTTAGCCAGCCAACATGACATCTGACTAGGTGCTGTATATGTAGCCAGATGTGTTGTGGGTGCTTTATTTACTCACACTCTCCTCTGCTTCATCGTCATCATCGTCATCGCTGTCTCCACTGTCCTGGCTGACAGAGGCTGTATCTGAGGACGAAGCTGTGTCTGCACTGTCAGATGTGACTTCTACTGGAGCCTCTGCTGCCGCCGCCTGCTGCAAAAACAATCAAAGCATTAAAGCTATAAACTTCAGCAGGATTGTAGTCTGCAGACAAAAGACAAAAGAATAATAATTATAAATGATTTGTTTTAAAGACTTATCTCTCACCTCGTCTTCATCTGAACTCTCCTTGCTCTCGTCTGAGCCGGCAGCAGCTGCAGCCACAACGTTCTGCAACATCAGAGGGACACAATGAATTAGATTAATCCTCCTTACTGTCTTCATTCATGTCTCACACAAAAGGCCAGTCAAAGGAAACTAATTAGTGCAGGCTCTTTCTCCTTCGTAGCATCACTGGATGTTAGCCTCTCTACAAAGACAACTCTTTGGTCCCTGACATGTTAAGCTCCAAAGGATTCTAATTAATGAAGGTGATCAGGGAGTCCACATGGTGGTGGTATAGACAGGGAATGCATGTCTTTTATTTGGACCACTAGGGCCACGTCATACCTATACTTAGTGTCAATGTGTTTAAAACAGGGCTGGATTTGAAGCCACTGCCGCACATTCCAAAGTCATATTCCAAAAAGATTTGGCAAATTTGATTGGTGGTGCAAACAACTTTTGGGGGCGCTGGGGGGCAAACAAGTAAATGAGAGAAAAGACAAGAGACAAGACAAGAAAAAAGTTAAATGAGCAGAGGAGAGATAAAAGAACAATAAACGAAAGGGACCATGGGAACAGAAGAGGAGAATAGGTTGTATTGAAGATGATGATATGAAAGAAAAGAATAAGTGGATGAAGTGAAGGAATAGTTTACCTCTACAGGTGCTGCACGGGCCTGAGGAACCACTGCCGTCTGTTTCTTGAGGGCTGGAGCTGCTGGTCGTCTCGCCTGTGGACAAGACCAACATCAGTCAGTTTAGAGGTCTCTCTATCTCTCTTTCTTTCTTTCTCTCTGTCTATCTCTCTCTCTCCTGATACTCACCACTTCCTCAGAGCTCTCTGAACTGCTGTCTGAAAGTTTTCTCGCCTAAAAAGCAAGCAAAGACATACACAAAGTGAATCGAATGTAAGAAAATCCACCGAAACTGATGTCGAAATTGTTTGAAACTGATGTAAAAAATGAAATGTGATCCAAGGACAAAGCTGCTGCTCTGTGCTCAGCAAAAGCTATTTAGAAGTTCTGACTCAACAGGGAAAAAGACTCACCGGCCGGCAGAGAACTGTGGCGAAGAGCAGAACGAAAACAACGGCCACTTTCATTGTGTCACGGTTTGGTGTCTGGATTGGGAGAAAACCAGAAAACACGCAGGTTGAAGTCGCACAATAAAACATCATCTTATAACACAATAAAACAATAAAACATAATCATGATACAAACACCTCGTACGACACCAAAATACTCGCCCGGAGGCAATAACTTCACGGGAAACACAATGACATGTCAAACTGAAATTGAGCTGCAAGCCTTGTCTGTAAATCCCCTCGCCCAGATTCCTTCCTAAAAATGGAGGCTGCATGGTCACATGACTGTTAACTAGCAGTGGCACTTCCTGAGGCCTTGGTATGTCACAGGAAGTCCTTAATTAGAGACCTGAACGAGTGGTTATGTGTCCCTGACAACTCTGTTTCGGTACAGTAAAACATTTTCTCTGTCATCAGAGCGAGAAAATCACATCATTTTGGTTTGTGGTTTGTTTAACTATGAGACAGGAGGTTTCTGGCTGATCCTGGGCCGAAAGGTGTGAGACAATAACAGGTATTATTTCAAAAGGGATTAATTTAGCCTGTGAGTGTTTGGCTTAAAATATTTAAGGGACATTTACCCCCTTTACATTGTCTATTATCGCTGCAATAATACAGCGTAGAAATATGGCTTAGCCTGCATCTGTAGTCTCTCAGCTTCCAAGTCTGTATTATATTCACACAGCACACTAGGAGAAGAGGGTGTTGTTATTAGAAAATGTCATTTTAGACATTTATTGTACATTTATATACTATTTTTTTCGTATATTCCACTATTTCTGCGAACTTAAGAGATAAACCTATATCAAGCACCAAACAATTGGTCAACAAGGTGTGTTTTTACAAGAGATTTCAAATATCAGACTCAAATTATTTCTTTTTGCACATTTTGATTTTGATACATGGGCATATCATGCTATACAAGTTCCTTTAAAGGTTAATTTAAGAAGATATGTAAAAAAATGTCCTGTAAGCAGATACTCTGGAACCAAGACATCTACATGAAATCAATACCTTGCTTTTACATTTTTCTACAAATGAGAGTCAGTATGTTTAAATATCCCAGAATAAGGCAAAATGCTAAATTAGGATAAAGAAAATAGCACTTGCTGGTGTTCTTCTATATGTTTCATATTGTCAACAGATCCCATTAAAAGGCTGTCTGAGACTGTCTATGGCTCTCAGTCCATTGGTTCCTACTGAAAATGTAGGCCTAAATCTTTAAAAACAGCTCACAAATATATAGTTTCATTTTTTTAAAAAAAGACTATTTAATCTCCTAAAACAGCTGGACATTGTAGTTTTTAACAAACCATGTTCAAACAGGAGGAAATAGTATATTTATTAGGGACTATTTTCAGCAGAGGAGTAATACACATTTCCTTCTCTAGTGAGGATTTACAGCAGCAGGACAGTGTATATGGCATCAAGAAACTACAGTGTGTGTGTGTGTTTATGATGATGAAAGCACATGTCACCCAGTGCAACAGTCTGGCTCATTGATGTGTTTTTAATAGTTCCTGACAACAATGGAGCTCTATGGCACAGAGGAATGAGATATATCAGGCTTTGGCTACACACACAGTAGTTGTTAGTGGGATCTGTTCATTGTCGGTTTTGGTCTTTTCATGGGAAACAGTAACTTTTACTGATGTTCAGAGTATTTTTTAAGTGGTATGTCAGCAAAATGTCAGTATCATGCATCCTTATTTTAACTGCAGATTAAACTAGATTAGGACGACTAAGATTAAACCTTGTTAACAGCATCTTTAAAAACATTTCTCTCTTACTATAATCTTCTTTTCATGTATGTGTGGGAGGAGCAGTCTGAGAGTCTGCTTCTGTCTTTAATGACGGACTCTTCCTATACTGTGTAATTCACCAGGTTATAAGTGGAAAGCCACAGTGCAGCAGAAACATGACAGACGCCCATAGGACTGTAAGCCTGTGTGTATTTCTGTACGTCTATCTTTGTGAGGACCAGTACGGGTTTTCGACCTCGTCCACATATTTGCAACTGGGTCTGAAGTCCTCAAGTCTTTTAAGTGCTGTTTTAAGTAAGTTTTAGACCTAAGGCTAGAATTAGGTTTAAGGTAGTTCTAGGATTAGGGGCTAGGAATGTTTTATGTTCAGTACAGTGGTAAGAATTGAATGTGTGTTCTTGTTCTTGTTCTTTATAAGGACTTGAGAGTAGGGACATTTTGTCTTCCTCCAAGGTTTGTTTGAGGGTTCAGTCTTGGTTTTAGAGTTTAGGGTAGAATTGGGTTAGTTGAGAGTTAGATGAGAAGATTGATAGCGGTTTTATATCTGTACGCTAACTATGACGCTAAAGCTAGCAGGAAATTATCTTAGCCTATCATAAAGACTGGAAGCAGGGGGAAACAGTAATCTTTGGCTCTGTCCAAAAGTAACAAAATCTGAACAGCCCTTCCAAAGTTCACTAACTAACATGTCATATAGCTTCAGCAGTCTTTTGTTGAGCTGTTGGCTATTTTGGACCGAGGGCTATAACAGGACCATGCCTCACTACCAGGTTTAAACTTAAGTCTCAGTTTGAACCTGAAGAACCTTTACTCTGATCAGATGTTCAGTTAAAAAGCACTGTGTACTCAGTAAGTGTGTGTTATCAGTATGTTTACTCAGTGCGGTTAGTCGGGGCTGGTCCTGGTCATGTGACACATAATCCAGAGGCTTGTTTCCTGCCGCCCACAGCTTCCCCTTCCTGCTCTGGTGTCATCGTGATACTAATTAGCCAATCAAACACTGCCGCCCCGGCTTCACCTCTGACCAATCACAGGCGGACTTCCACTGCCATAAAGTCTTAAAAAAGAACTCGTAATTAACTGCAATAAACTGCAGAGCTTCATGGCGGATAGTTAAACCCTCCTACGGGTTTAATGTCAGTTTGCTCAACGCCGACTGTAAATCTCTGATAATGTTGTATAAATGTGATTGAAAATCAGTTAAAATGAAGCTGGAGTTTGTTAGAAAACTTGCACAAATTACCCTTTAAACCAAGTACACTGCAAAATTACCTTTAGGCCATTGCTGTCTACTACTGAGTTATAAATCATTTAGTTTTTACTGAAAGTGAAACAAAATGTTTCAAATTCACATTTTGATCAATATTTTATAAGAATTGTCAGTATTTGGAAACTACATGTTATGAGGCAGATTGCAGTGCTAGGATCAAAACAAATGGCATTTGCTCTTTAAAAAAAATAGTATTTTGGACTACAGTATAGTACAACATTAAATTAAATGAAATATTTTTTTATAAGAATTTTTTTTGCAGTGTCGCTCTGGATATGTTAATGATACATAAATAATACACACTACAATATATAGTACATGGCCAAAAGTATGTGGACACCCAACATGTTTCCAAGGCCATTGGCATTAATCTGTTGCTGTATCAGCCTCCACTGTCCTGGTTTCCGGGTTTCTCACCAGAGTTTGGAATCTGGCTGCAGAGATTTGCTCCCATTTAGCCTTAAGAGCTTTAGTGAGGTCCAACACTGATATTGGGTGACAAAGTCTGTCTCGCAGTTCACATCCCAAAAGTGTTGAAGATGGAGATGAAGTCAGGGCTCTGTGCAGACCACTGAAAATCTTCCACTACAAACTTGGAACTGGCTTTGTGCATTGGGTTGAAGGCCCTTCCTCAAAATGCCTCAAACATCACTGCATGCTGTAGCATTTAGATCTGCCCATATCCACGAAAACAGCCACAGACCAAAAGTAGTGTAACGGAAATATGAAGACAGACCTGTCCACATACTTTTGGCCATATAGTGAAAGAACTTTTCACACTGCAAGTTTCTAAATGCTGGATTGTATTCTTCAAGCTAAATAAAGCAGATTTCCAGCAGTTTATACAAATATTAACCTGCCCTCCCACCTCTCATCAGAGCAACAGTGCTGCAGGAAAACTCCAACCAAACACGCTAAACTGTAACCATAATGCTCAGTGTCGTGTATTCATTCTGACCTTGTTTGCAGTCGGAGGAAGCTTCAGGAGTTGAGCTGCAGGTTGTGGAGCAGAAGCAGACAGACGTGGTTTGCCTTTAGTTTATCTCCTGGGTTTCCCTGGATGTTGTTCGCTGCTCAGTGATGCTGCTGCAGAAACCGAGCCTCCTGGTTGGCTTATAAACCCTCCAGCCTCTGGGAACAGCCAATCGGCATGGAGCTTGTGATGTCATGAGGTTAACCGCTCCGTGGTCCACCTCTCCTCTCTCTCCCACTCTTCCTGTGGTTGGTGCTGTGGTGGTGTGAGGGCAAACGCACACACACACACACACACACACACACACACACACAATGCAAAGACAAATACATGGATAAAGACATTTACAGCCCCGACAGAAGCATGTGAATGTACTTTTTTGCCTCTCTCCTTCTCACACACACACACACACACACACACACACACACACACTCGTTGTGTGTATGAAGCTAATTTAAGGACATGTAGTGACAGGCTCTGGGAAAAAACAGCAGCATATAGTGGCGGGTGGTATGACAGTGATTCAGCTTCCTCACAGACAGAAGAAACTCATCTGACTGAGGTCTCTCTGGATAATTGAGAATTTGTCTGCGACACCAGACTGATGGGTCTTAAACTGTCGAACAAGGGGAGAGGCTGTGTGTGTGTATGTCTATGTTATGTTTCCAAATAAGCAAGTAACTTTTAGTAAATTGCTGTGTGTGTTTGTGTGTGTGTATTAAAATATATATATATGAGCTCAGTCAAGTTGTGCTCCTGGTAAATATATTTGTACAGGTTGAGTTCAGTGATTGAAACAAATAAAATACTTTCTACGAAGTACATTTAATATATACAGAAGTACTTGTACCTTTAATTTCTATTTTAGGGTACAAATTTTCTCTGCGTACATGAAATATTACATTCAAAATAACCTCCTTTCCTTTTTTTTTCTTCTAAAAGACTCAGAGTGACAGTTGGCATCTTTGTCTTACTGTATATGACACCCTCTATCCTTACACCCTCCCTCTGGATCAGGAAAAATTGACAAAACCTCAGGACGAGCAACAGAGGAGGGATCTCTCCCCCAGGACGGACATATATGCGATAGATAGACATTGTGACAGTATGGACAATCAGGGTGACAAAATTACAGATTAATTGTAAACATATACGATATATTGATTATTGCATTGCAGTTTCCTCAGGTATCTTCTCTCCACCATCTCCAGCTGGTACGGGACGCTGCTGCTGAACTCATTAGCAGGATGAAGAGGAATGATCACATCACCCCTGTGCTTGCCTCCCTGTTCAATTTCAAATTGATTGCTCACTTTCAAAGCCTTAAACGGACTTGCTTCTGTGTCCATTTCTGCAATGTGGGGAGAGGGAGAGGCCCTGGCACAGCCGATGGTCCAGCACGGAAAAGGCTGCTGGGAGAAAGAGCACGAGCACAAATGCATGCAGGGCAATGTTGTTGAATGGAAGATTAATGTGACCATACATTAGACTTCCAATATGACCTTCAGAATAAAAGGTGTGGGGGGTCGATAGTGTAAGGCAATGTAATTCTTCATTTATACCCACTGTGTGAAGTATGGATCAATACTCGGTGTCAGAGAAATAGATTCCTATATAGCACATGTCCTCTCTTGTATCCTTCACATATTATAGTGACAATCAGCCAAACAGAGCAGTGTATCGATCAGATACTGTGCAAGTCCTGTGTGATTGTTGTTGTTTTTAGTTTGTTAAGACATCATCGTAGTTCCACCATTTTTCTGGCACCAGTTATCAGTTCATGCTTTTAATTAGCTGGTGTGACAATTAAATGCGGTATTACATTACATAGGCTACTTACTTCAAAATGTCCCCTAAACTGAGAAAATATAAAAAAAATATCATATTGCTACATTTCATTTTGTGAAATTGTATAAATTCTCAAAAATGATGCTATGATGTTGTATGTTACAGTGACAAATGCAGATCTGGTTTCATAAAAAAATGTCCCCCTAAAAGTTACGTTTTAATTAGTAAGTAAGTAAATTTTTTAAGTAAATCGCAATATATTGCCTTGCTTATAGTGTCGTAATATATCACAATACACTGAATTGTAACGCCTGTATCGTGATACGTATCATATCACCAGGTTATTGCCCATGCACAGGCATAAAACTGAGCACTCAGTTTTTAGCAATCAAGCTGGTTCTGTGAACTCAATCTAAGTGTTCTCCACCAAGATCACCGTTCACACATTCTGTTTAGATAACATAACAATATTTTGTTTTAGAAAATAAGACGGTGGTGGATCTTTACGAAAAAATGAGGAGGGAGTAGGGTGGGTTGGATCCAGACAGACGTGCATTCTCTGAATTCTCGTGTAATTTACATTTTAGACCCGCAGCCTTGTTGAGACTGCAGAATCATTAAACTTGATTGGCTCGTAAAAGTGTCTGAGTCTGTGTGTGTTTATGTCTGACACACTGACATACTGGCTGGCATATACGCACACATACCTGTACATTTTCAGATTTATGATCTAGATGAGCAACAGCTACACAAACAGAAATACACTAACTTGATTCCTCACACATCACAGAAACATAATGCTTTATTACTAAGATATCAAATGTTTCTTTATATGCACACATAACTTTTCCTCTCATATTTTGGGAAAATACTGAGGGAAGAGCAAGATGGGCTTGTATGACTCACTATCGCTGGTAATACTATAGCAAACACTAAGTAAAACCATGTCAACAGTCTTAGTTCTTTTCATTTCACATAGCCTTCTATAAACCTCTCAATGTTAGGACACATCTGTCTCGATAGGACTGAACAAAACAGGTTATACAACCTTCATACTGACAAAGATGTCGTCAGCTCCACAGTCAGCTTATTGTGGATTTATGACATGCCCACAATCACGACAGCTCAGTTGTGATTGTGGGCATGTCATAGCTGTCCAGCCACTTGTTTTGGTCTCAACGCTCTCATAGTGGCATTTTCGGCTACAGGAGACAGCTGTTTTTATAGAAAAGCGCAGATAAACCCACTGCTCACTACCTGCTCAGCAAGAAACAGCAGACAGACACAGTTAGCAACTCGATGGTGAACATAGTGGAACATTTATTAGCTTGCCAGATATTTCCCTCAGGAGTTGGTTGAGACCAAACCAGAGATTAAAGGTCCAGTGTGTAACATTGAGGATGATCTATTGGTAGAAATGGAATATAATATTCATAGGTACGTTTTCATTAGTGAATAATCATCTGAAAATAGGAATGGTTGTGTTTTCATTACCTTACAATAAGCCGTTTTTTTCACTACAGACGGAGCAGGTCCTCTTCTGCAGAGTCCGCCAAGTTGAACCTCCATGCTGGTGCTAAATCCTACACACTGGTCCTTTAATCCAGCTTTAATAAAGTCTGTATGAGAATCCTGACTGGTGTATTGTAACTAAACGAAAAAAGAACTTAATCTCCACTGTGCACTTTGTATTAATACACATTTTGAAAAATGTAATTAAAATGTAGGTGCAAGCAGCAGAAATCCACCAACACAACAAGAACCATGTTCCCACTGGACATTAAAGGACAACATATCACAGCAAAGCACTCCCCTTCTGCTGGGAAATGGGATAATGTGGATATACAGTTAACATCACAGTACATCCTGCTTTGGCAACATTTCTAATTAACCTGAATCGGTAATTCAGAACAGACGCAAATTAAGATAATTCGTAGGACACATACAGGGCTCAGAATATAAACACATAAACATACAGAAATTAAAGTCATACATAAATAGTCATTTAATCCATTTGGCACTGATTTCTGAAAACACACAAACACAAAGAAGACATACTCAGTTTATCTGTCAGCACTGAAAGTCGCTCGGTTAATACACACACATCGACTGTCTGATGTGTCATCACTCTGAACGTACAGACACGTTGAACTCCGACAGCTTGATGAGTTCTGAGGCCTCACAGTCACTAACGTACAATTACACAGCCACTCAAATCAAAGCTTCTTCTTCCGCAGACGCACTGAGGTATGTTGCACAGCAGGGGTGTCCCGCTCGCTCTTTAATGACCCCGGAGGACTATTTGATAATTGATCATAATAGATTTGAAATGTTTTTGTTTTCGAAGATGACTCTGTTGTTCTTTTGTACTTTTTTCAATAAAAATGTTATTTAAAAAGTTACCTCTGTTGAAGAGTTGGTGTATATTTGTCCTTGGACAACAGTACTGAATGACCATCAGGGTGATTTCTTTTCATATAACACTTCTGTACATTTGTTGTCACATAGTGTAAATTATGTTATCTGCAAACTTGCATATTGTTTATGATGTACATGAAGAACACTGTTCATTGTAATTACTTTAGTTTTATTTTGAAAACCTTGAGCCCTGAACACTGTAATAACTAAAGATGTGGTGTAATTTACTAACGGACGCTGTGTGTTTATGCCAGTGTGTGTGGGAGAGAGAGGAAACCTGGATGATCTGCCGTTTGTTGAATTAAAGGACGAATAAAGCAGCATGAGACACGTCTGGGATGAATGTGTTGGGACACGCTGTGTAAAGCTTTCTACCTCTGTTTTCACCCACTGACAGAATGTTTATGTGAGATCATTTCTTGTCTTGTGTTAAGGTTTCTGACTGTATTTATGTTTTATGTTACTTGTTACAGGTGAGATACACTGTGTGCATACTGATATTATGCACTATGTACTAAAATAGATGGTGCAACAGCATAGCATCATGTATATATTCAATAAAGTATTTTTGTATTAATGGGAAATGATACAAGTTGTGCACCAAATCAAGTGTGTCCTTATTTCAAAATAACAGACTAACTTATCACCTCTGCCTCGACAGTTATTTTACATTTCATATATGAACACATCCTGGAGTGTTTTGTTTGTGTATGAAACCTGATATTTCAGGCCAGAGACTGGGTCGTGACCCACACATGGGTCACAGGAGACTTTATTTGGGTAAGGAGTTTCCTGCTCCTGCTAAATGCACCTAATTTATCTAATTTATAAAATATTTAAAATGTGTACATTGTTTTGCTGATGATGGAAGATGAGATTGTTAACTCCTGATGAATGCACTTAAATTATCTTGTTTATACAGTGACCATACATT